TCCAATTTCAACACAAAAGACACATTCAAAATGTCCCTTCTCGGTTGATATCAAAACATTTATGATCTTGTTCCATTGTCCTTCACGTACATATGTTGAGTTTTCTGTCATATTGTACTCTTCAGATAAGCCATGATAGAAACAATGGATGATTGAATACTTTGTTTTAGAATCTTTCCACCAGTCATATTATGTAACAGGTTAGCCATAATCATTAACAAGAAAATAGCAAAGACCCTGTAAAACATTAAATGTTAATGTTACATGTTACAAAGTTTTCAATGGACTAGAATTTGGCTCAAATTGGAAAACGCCCTTCCAGGCAATATTTGCCGAAACATTTGGAAACACTTGAAATAAATTACGCAAATAATTTCCAAAGATAAGAATCTTAGAATACTGACCACAGATCCAATCAATCAATGTAAACATAAGATAAAATTAGTTAAAACCAATAGAGTAATCTCCCTTGCAAAGTATCAGACAAAGCAGGTGGATTTGTCTCCCTTTGCAAAATTATGAAATTCAACAGTAGTGCAAGAGTTTCATCCCTGACACCAAATTTAAAAAAACATATATATATATACACATGTGAATATATGAAACATATTGTTGAAAACGACTAAATATATTTGTCATAAATTAATAATGCTATCCGCCAACTGAATTTGGCTGCAAACTTGGGATGTATAAATCAATACTTCCAATGTCTACGACTGTGCAGTCTATCTCCAATTCATTTACCATATATACATCATATCAAAGTGACTTCGCTTTAGACTTTGACGTTATATAAGATCGCCCACTCCATGCCAATATACTTGCACCCGGTCCGAATCTGAATTCAAATTCAATAAACATTTCGTAAAGGAGTGGAACAGTAACAAAACATTCATAACCATTCTCTAACAAAAAGATTAATGAAAAGGAACGATACAATTTATGTAACAAACACACACTATCCTAAGTAGGTCAACTAACGCCCGTCGTTGTAGCTCACGCCGGTAAAACTATTTGCTTTTTACACAGAAGCTGCTTGCGTTATGAATCCACGTGGTAGAATAAATAAGTTTTCCCACATAAATAATTCTTCAGATTAACTTTTGACCAAAAAAATAAAATAAAATAAAGTGAAAAATTTCAGATAAAAATTATGTGTGCGACACCTAGTGGTGAAAATTTTTTGTATGAACCGAATGATAAAATTACACCGAAAAGTGTTTAAACACCAGAAATGCCTTAAGTGTGTATAGCTAAGATGTAGATAAGATGTAACTGTACAAACATAAATCACTTTATACTGTTCCACTTTATAAAGTATAATTTTATGGAAAAAGAAAACATTAATCAAATTTTCATATCCAACATAGAAATATCACTTTAAACAAATGTAAATGCGTCGTTTAGAACATGGATTAACCGATTCTATGGGTTTATCAGCGTAACGATGTTCGCTTAATGAGCAAATTAGGCATTTTGGTGGAATGGGGGGGGGGGGGTTGGTGATTATTCTGTTGTGTGGTTTTTAATACTTTTATTTACAATATACTAAATAATACTAAATTCTTAAAGATTATACGAAAGACATAAATAGAATATTTGTTTAAAGAATATTTTACTTAAGAAATAATAAAGGAAGAGAATAGGAAATTTAAAAAAGCAATGTTTATGTAACCCGTTAATTATTCATATCTGAAGCTGCTGTACATGTTTTCTTTTCAATGTTAGTCTAAGTCTTAACTGTTTCTGTTACCCGTCTTTCCTGTTTTGAAGTTTAACGATTTCCTCTGTATAACATCATCTCTTTCAAATGTGAAATATGTTCATATTTATAAAATTAAATGGAAAACTTCCTTCCGATAAAATACCACTTTCTTTCAAGAAAATCTTCTTGTTAACTTAGCAACTTCCTTTCAAAGAATATTCTTATAAAATTACTTAATTAGTTTCCATAAATCTTCCCAAATATAAAAGCCTGAACTTAAAGCAGAACTTGATTGTAATATTTAATTGACAATGTGTGGAAGTGTTTATTGTTGTGGGCAGCAGGTCCATAAATTGGTGATATTACCAACAATATATTTGTGGATTGTATTTATGATTCAAACAGTTTTTGTTTCATTTGAGTAGTGTATGTTTAACGTAGAATATTGAGATATGTAGATATGGTTGACTATGCTAATCGATGAATGAGTAATTAACCACTAGATACACTGTGTATTTGATATAAATTGCATGTATATTACTTTTTCCTTAATGTGTATTTTTAACATGTTTGTTGTAATAAAATGTACATGATAGATTTCAGGGTTTAAGACGGTATTGTGTTATTTGTGATTTGTTTTATTATGTACTTGCAGGTCACTTATACTACTACACTTATTTACTACGATATACTATAACTGTTCAAATATCATCAAACATAGAGTAGTCTATGATAGACTGATACTTATTTGAAGTGAATAAATTGTGAATAGAAATGAATAGGGACACATACACAAATATGAATAAAGAAGAATAACTCATAAATATGATTATGAAATATCAGACTTTATATCGCATAAAACTTTGTAATGTTGCAAATCACATTAAAGATCCATCAATAGATATCAATAAATTATTTCTATCGCTCCGTTTTACTAGCTATAACGTATCCAAACGTTTTCCAAGCCTCGATCTCCTTCATCAGTTCCCTATATTATTCAAATTGTATGAAGGTGAAAAACATTATACGTAGAAATTTATTTTACAATCAGCTTTACAGTATAGTCGCACGAATAATTCACATGCATATGTATAAAGCCATATAATTTTGCTCTTTCTGCATATATCATCCTTATAAATAAAAATTAGAACCGGTTTATTCGTAATTTCGTTAGAGATTAGTGGCTTCTTTTCAATGCCGGCATATTTAAAATTAAGAGTGTAGTGAAGTGCCATCTGCTTATATTTCTACGCCTGGTAAACAATAGAGCTACCTCTTTCGGAGGTAAGCTACCTCTTTTGGAGGTATACGATACTTTGCTCTGTCGCTACTTCCGAGCTAGTGCATGTCGCTAACATCAGGTGTCAACAAAGGTAAAGGGTCATATTTTTTATATATTTTGAAAATTCTCCACCAAATATCGAAATTCGAAGAATACTATACCATATAGATTGAATGAAAGTTTCCAAGAAAGGTATAGTTGATGAATTTGTTTTGAAATGAAGTTGTGGCGGCGTTGGCGAATTTAGCGTGGCAATGGACCGTTTCATCATGAAACAAATTATTTTTCCTCCTATTTTCACCTAAACAGCAATCCAGATTAAAAACTCACTCACTCACTCACTCACTCACTCACTCACTCAATCACTCAATCACTCACTCACTCACTCACTCACTCACTGGAAAAGCAGATAGTCAGATAATTATCTGTTATTTATCTAGTAACAGAGAGCTTTTCTAGATATACCCACTTAATGTGTCAGATAATAATAAAAAAATGCAAGGAATATTTCCAAAGTATTCCACCTTCTCTATTATTAATTTTGTTAAGTGAAAATATAACTAGTTATGCACATAGTTATCTTATACTTAAGCAGTTAACTAAGAAACACAAAATGTGTTTATGATATAATTATCTGTAATTTGATTGGTAACAGAAAACTTTCCTAGATAACCACTTAAGGTGGACTGTTAGATAACAGTAAGAAAAGCAAGGTATATGTCCAAAACAGTCCGCATAATAATAATAATAATGATAATAAATGGCAGGTATTTTTTATATTGTTTTCCTATAGCCTGAAGAGCTTAAAGTGTTTAAAACGTGACTTTATCTTATGTTTGTACTTAACACTTGGAAAGAAACTGTTTAGAAATTTACAGTTTTTTTTTCAATATAAAATTTAATATTTTATATAATTCTGACAAAATTCTTCCAAATACTTCAGGCTTTGTATTCCTGCTTAGTTATCGGGTAGTTGAGAATGAAACAAACAGAAGGTAACTTTAGATCAATTGGCAAAAAATTAACTGTCAGAATCACTAAAATGAATATGAATTTACAAGTGCACAAGGATCGTCCTAAGTGTCAATGTATACTCAGTGGCAGTTTATTTTTGTGCGGATTCATACAAATCCAAATGCCATTAAAAAATTAAACTTATTGTTACTTTTAAAAGTATAAAATGTTAATACGTTTTACGCAATGATTTTTGTACTAACAGACCGGACAAATGATAGTCAAAACAAATACTGTAAATTTTACACTTTTGAATTGAATAACATCACTAAAGTTAAGGTTATACATTTTTGCACTTTGCAAAAAATCCCACAAAAAACAGATTCTGTCCACGTCCCCTAGCATCGGCTTAATCAACATTTAAACATGTTATGGTAGAATTATGAATTAAGAAAGATCCGCAGATGTATTCATACGGTGTTGATCATGGTACTTTCAATGTGACACATAAGTGCTATTTCATGAAAAGCGACGTATGGTTCCAGTGAAAAAAAACCCCCGAAGTCCAGTCTAAAATCAATTTGACATCCTGTACAATTCAAAGGGAAGATTTGAAAATAAGAAGAGTTTATTTCAGATGTTGTTGTTAAATTGAGTTCGCTTACCGGACACGACAGGATCGTTAAAAACACATACATCTTAAAGTGTAATAATCCTACAAAAAATTGTTATGTCATTGTTATGCAAGCTTGCTAACATTTATTTCTACTCACATATGCAAGTTTACTAGTTTACTTCGGCCGAGTATCGTTTTGTGTTAAAGATACTTCTTGTTATTTCTCTTTACATTTACTTTTTAGCATGTACACGAATTCACAATAGTATCAAAAGTCGTAGGACAGTTATATATTTAAAACATGATTTTTATATCTATATTTCTTTTTTTTCTCGTATTATTTTAACGTGCAGCGTTATACATTCGAATATTTGATGTTGTCTTTTAATGATAACAAGGGAAACACTTTAAGCATTTCTTCGATTCCTTCCTTTATTTCAATTTTATGATAAAAAACCCAATTTATGAATTTTCTCATAAGACACCTCATAATCTCTTTTATCAGTATCAGTTTTATCACTAGTTGTGCTAATAAAACTTTCAGGTAATACCTCCTGTATAATGTGTACAACTTGTAATTTTGTCATGTTTAATTGGTCATCACCAATATTAAATGCTTTACCCGACATGATCATTGCATTATCCAAAGCAAATATAATTGCACGCGCAGCATCTCGAACATGCAGGAATGACCTTCTGAAATGACCTTCAAACAATTGGATATGATTTTCCTTTACAGCTGTAAATGTTAAATTGTTTATTAAAAGGTCATGTCTCATTCTAGGAGACAATCCAAATAAAGTTGCGAATCTTAGACATATACCACAAACAGACCGAACTATTCCTTCTCCACGAACTTTACTTTTTCCATACAGAGAAAGAGGTTGAATTGTTGTTTTCTCGGTACAGACACCTTCTACATACCCATAGCAAGACCCTGTACTTGCAAATATCATAGTTTGTGTATTTGACATGTTATCAATTATGATTTGTGTTCCCAAGATGTTTGTTGCAAATGCAGCATCAGGGTCAGAATCACATGCAGGATGCCCAACTACTGCGGCGAGATGAATTATTGTGTCTTTACCTAAAACAACTTCAGCAATATGGTCTCGGTTTGTCACGTCACCTTTAATAATTCTTAGATTAGACATGTGAACAACATGGAACAATGGGTGTATACCCCAGTTCAGGTTATCATATACTGTTACTTCGTGTCCTTCGTGTAAAAGCATTGGTACCAATACTGAACCAATGTATCCAGCACCACCTGTGACAAGTACTTTCATTACAAATTTTGATTATCCTATTAACTTACTAAATGGTTTGTGTAAATGTTTTAATTTCCTTGAATACTTAGATTAAATCATAAAAATCTTTTCTATCTGAATATTTCAAACTTCCACTGCAATATACATGTATAGAGCCCGTGTAGTTTGTAGCTAGTTATGCTTTTTGCAAGTATTTCTTACATTCTTATATACCCAAGTGACATAGTCATTTAATCAATGGCAACGTTTCGCTAAGCTATATAAAAAAAACAACAACAATTGTTCAATAAGAAATCATTCAAAAAACACCATATTGATTAAATCCATGTACTTTTAGTTTAAAATGCGTTTCAGAATAAAAAAGGAAATTCCAGATGTCCTTTTTCCGGGGGTCGACCTACAGGCTCTTTTTCAGGAACAAATTTACATGCAGAGAGAGATTTGACATAGGGGAACAATTCACCTATCTTTTAAACCTCAGACGAAACGCATTGTACATGTCCGTCTTGCGGATAATAGTCCTCTATCTTTTTAAATGGATTTATTTTCGAAAGATAATGATGAAAAATGTTGTTCGGAGTTATTTGATTAATACATGTATACATAGAAGAATATATTTCTTATACTTTTAAAATGGTAAGTAATGCTGTCATTTTGCAGTTTATTCTCCGGAATCAGTATAAGTGTCCTCAAATTGTCTAATACTGTTCAATAAAATGAATATACATGAAACGTTTTTCTCCACATTCCTCATGCGTTAGTATGGTCTGTGCTTTTAATTGTTATTTAATATGTTGTAGAAAATACTTTCATGATATATGGTTTACACCTGTTTCAATGAAGAAGATATGATCAATGACAAAATGGAGTGTAGTAAAATAACGCAAACATTTGGTTTAATGGGACAATTCGTTTCTTTATTTAGAATTTTCCATCATACATCATATTGTTATAATGAAAATATATAGTAAATAGACAACAGAAATAAGAAGAAAAAAACC